GGCGATCAATAACGGAATGTGTAAAAGTAGAGCATAAGGCAAGTCAAACACGAAGACGATGCCTTACAAAGTTGGTGGATGCGCCATGAGGCATTTGGTTCTTTTACCAAATTCTAAAAGGATGGTAGTGAGTTCCAATAGGCATTTGAAATATTAGCCCATCTGTTTGTATGTCAGAAGCGTCTAACAATCGTAAGAAGTTTTCGAGTGGTTTCGCAAGGAAGGAAAGAGGAAGGGATATAAGTTGTATTGCATCTTGAAAGCCATACATAAATTCTATTGCTTCTGCTCTGCGTTTTATTCAATTGTGCTAACAAATAAAAAATAATAATCTAAATGGCTAACATAGGCCTCGAATCTTATGATTGAGAAAACATACATCCAAGGCAGAGATTGCATCTAATAAGTAACAAGAAGTCTAGCTCTCTCCGTTTCTCTCTAGACGGCAGGGCAGCCTGTCCATTTCCCCAACGCATTAAGTTGGAACTTAGCTTCAGATTAAGGTAGAGGGCAGTTGTTTTGCACCTCAAAAGTGCAACCTCTACACACCTCATCAGTGAAATCTTTTCAGTTGGAGACAAAAGGAATCGAGATAAATTCTTCTATTAAATATAGAAATGCATATGACAGGAGAAAACTGATACCGATAGGTGTCTACCAACAAACATTAGGGAAGATAAAGAAGATTACAAATGTATATACTAAATTTGACTAACAAAAGACCACCTCATGAACTAATATGAAGCATCAAATGCGAAAAAGAAATCATCCTAGCTTTTAAAACTCTTCCAGCAGCAAAGCCAAAAAAGAGACATGCGTGTATATATATATATATATATATATATATTCACTTAATGGACGTATTGCTGCAGAGAACCAGAAACAAAAAAGATCCTTACGAAAAAGAAAACAAACAAAATGACAAAAAATCCAGATGAGAGAATATAAGATGTCACTCTGTGGCTGTTTCATCCTTGTTATTCCCTTCCGTTTTGCTCTCGGGTAAGGTATCCAAATCTGTACGAGCATCCTTCTCTTCCTGAGGCAAAGAAAATCCTGAAGAATCTTCGGCATTAACCTTATCCTCACTGTTGTTTGTGTCAGAAAATGTGATACCCTCATTGTGAGAATCAAATTGTTCTTTTGGCTGATCATTATAGTTTCCATTGCTTTGATCAACGTTCTCATTGTCATTCTGTCCACCACCAGTACCTTCAATAGTGTTTGAGGATGCATCATTCTCTTGGGGGTTCGACATATCTGAAGCATTAGCATGGTCATTCTTTTGACCAGAAGAATCATCATTTGAGTTGCTATGACCAGCATTTTCATATTCATTGTGGCTCGTATGATCTGACGACTCTTTGGATCCTTCATTTGAAGTATCTGTATTATCAAAGGAAGTTGAATTTGATGGACTTGAATCTTTTTGTTCACCGCTGAGAGATGTGTTAAAATTATTTTCTTCTTCAAGTGCGATATGCTTTGAAGTGGGGTTATCTTGATCGAGATTGATGTTGTTTGCAGTTTCATTTGTTGTAATTGTATCAGAAGTTTTCTCATTCGAAGCAATTGAATCATCCTGGGGCTGGTCTTTATACTCGGACACTAGCTGCTCTTCATTGTTATTCGTCACTTTGTCTGGTACATCAGACTGGTTGTTTCCATTACTTCCAGCTTCACTTTCATTTTGGACTGACTCCTTTTTATCAGAACCAACAGCTTCGCTACTCTTCCTTACATCCTCATGCTGAAACTCATGGTTTTCTTTATTTTCAACTGACTCTACCTCATTTAATTTTGCAAAACCATCCTGCCCATTTTCAGCACTGGAAGCATTATCACCTTTGTATTGTGCTTCTCTTGCATCGTCATTATTCCTCTCACTCCCGTCTTGAATCTGTGCTTCAGCTGAAACTATACCCTTAATATTACCTTTCTTTTGTTCTTGCTTGTCTGTATCGTTTTCATTGTTCTCCTTGTTGTCGCTACCATTGCCTCCCATGGTACCCTTGGAACCTTCCTCGGTCTCACTGCTGCCTTCTTTGGTTTCTACATCAACATCCTCTCTATACTTCTCCTTGGTCTCTTCCTTCTCATTGGCACCGTTCTCCTTCTCCCTATCTCCTGCATCATTGCTTTCTTTTTTCTCAGTCTCTTCATTTCCCCTCTCTTCTTGTTTTTCCTTTTCTTTGTTTTCTTCATTCTTGTCTTCGGTTTCACTCTCTTTATTCTGGCTTCTCTCCTCGTTTTTATTTTGTTCAATGTCTTCTGTCGGCATCTCATTTACCTTATCTTTACCTTCATTTTCTTCTTGGTTTTCTTTCATTTTGCTTTCTTCCTTTCCATTCTCTTCTTGATTCTCCTTCGATTTGCCTTCTTCCTTTCCATTCTCTTCTTGATTCTCCTTCGATTTGCCTTCTTCATTTCCATTCACTTCTTGATTTTCCTGGCCTTTGTTTTCTTCATTTCCATTCACTCCTTGATTTTCATGTTCTTTGTTTTCTTCGTTTCCATTCACTCCTTGATTTTCCTGTTCTTTGTTTTCTTCCTTTCCATTCACGCCTTGATTTTCCTGTTCTTTGTTTTCTTCCTTTCCATTCACTCCTTGATTTTCCTGTTCTTTGTTTTCTTCCTTTCCATTCACTCCTTGATTTTCCTGTTCTTTGTTTTCTTCCTTTCCATTCACTCCTTGATTTTCCTGTTCTTTGTTTTCTTCCTTTCCATTCACTTCTTGATTTTCCTGCTCTTTGCTTTCTTCCTTTCCATTCACTTGTTGATTTTCCTGGCCTTTGCTTTCTTCCTTTCCGTTCACTTGTTGACTTTCCTGCTCTTTGCTTTCTTCGTTTCCATTCACTTGTTGACTTTCCTGCTCTTTTCTTTCTTCGTTTCCATTCACTTGTTGACTTTCCTGCTCTTTGCTTTCTTCCTTTCCATTCACTTCTTGATTTTCCTGCTCTTTGATTTCTTCGTTTCCATTCACTTGTTGATTTTCCTGATCTTTGCTTTCTTCGTTTCCATTCACTTGTTGATTGTCCTGTCCTTTGCTTTCTTCCCTTCCATTCTCCTCTCGATTGTCCTGTCCTTTGCTCTCTTCATTTCCATTCTCTTCTGGATTTTCCTTTTCTTTGCTTTCTTCATTTCCATTCTCTTCTGGATTTTCCTTTTCTTTGCTTTCTTCATTTCCATTATCTTCGCTTCCTCCCCTTCTACCGATCTCTTCACTTTGACTCTTTTCAACCTCCCCGTTTTCCTTATCATCAGTTTCTCCCTTTTTAATCTCTTCATTTCCTTTGTTTTTGTTTTCCGCATCTTTGTTCTCTTCAATTTCTGTCTCTTTGCTAACCTCACTGATCTCCTCTCTCTCTTTCTCCATATCCACCACAAAATCTTTATTGTCACTTTCCTCCCGAACTTCTTGTTGATCATGAAACTCATCATTTCCACCACCCTTTTCTTCACTGTCACTTTCAGACGCACCCTTTTCCAGATCATTCCTGGTGTCTTCTTCGACCTCTTTATGGCTCTCATCACTCATGAAGTTTTCATCGACTCGAGGATGGAGGTCCTTCCTCCCTAGTTTCACAACATTATCACGTTTTGTGCTCTCACCGAAAGTAGCTTTCTTACCGCGAGAATGCTGAACTTGGTAAACGAGCCAGACGCAAACCCCGAGCAAAAGAAATATTTGTAAAGCACGTTTTACCTTGAAGCCTTTGGATCTCTGATTCCTTCGAGGGGATGACCTGAACATTATGAACTCCAATACTCTTGATCTGCCAACCAAGAAAATTCAATGACCATCATTTAATCAATAAATATCCACCATACAAATAAATATACAACCAAAACGCGAACCATTGCTGAAATGAGTGCCAGATTCAGATTCTAGCATAAAGATCGTAATAAATTCATATTCCCAGTTTCCAGAAAATTATCACAGACGTATTCTTTACACATTATCTTAATTGTTATTTATGAATAGGAAAAACGGTAGGATTTCCTGGAAAAGAAAATGCAGTTTGCAGTTTGATCAATCACATTCCATATTCTACAATAAGTTCAATTTCTCCTGTCCTAAATCTTCAGCAACCTACTCTTTAGAGATCGAAATCGATAAATAATAAATACAGAGAACAAATGGAACAACTGGAAGGTACTTTGGGTTGGAAAATAAGACAGATCTATAAATGCTCCTTCCAAAAGAGAAAGCAAGATCGTATAATTCCACCTATTAACTTGAATGGAAAGAACACTGAAGAGCGAAGCAGAAAGAAAAAGAAAACGAAAAAGAACCTGGAAACTCTGGGCGGATCAGAACGCTGTCAATGGTGTTGGTAAATGCAATGAAAAAATGAGAGAAAAGATTTGCAATTCTACGCAAGTTCAACCGGAGTTCATGCAAATTTCCTCGCGGAAATAAGAAGTAAAATTTTGGATCTGATGAATTTCTCCTTCAATGGAGTTTGGGTATTTATACGCCACCGCATAATCAGCTCAATCACGTTGCGCCATCAATCAAAAAGTTTCCTCTGAACTATATTTCTTTTTCTTTTTTCTTTTTTAATTTTATAATTTTTTAACTTTATTATCTATTTAGCTATATTTCAATTATCAAAGTTATTGGCTAATGTGAATAATTTACCAAAATATATTAAGGCTAAAATTTCTTCACCTCATGTGTGGAGCCCGAAAACCGGCAAAATTATAGCACTTCTTCATGTGGTGTACTAAGCCTGTTAATATAATCATATATTCAACTTATAAAGTTGAAATTAAACTTTGATTATCTCCTTAAAAGGATTAAAACCTTGATTATTTGATCAATGATAATTATAAGTCATACCGGCTGAACTAAAGAATCTTTCAATGGCGTCCAAGATTCTTGCATCCAGCCTACGCCTCGCCCGCACAAATGTCTCTCCCGCCGTCTCCCGCTTCCGGCCTCTCTCCACCGCGGCTGCTGTAGCCACTTCTCCGTCGGAACCCCATAAGGATGAAACTGGGATTTCTATGAAAGGTGTTAAAATCTCTGGACGACCGATTTATCTTGATATGCAAGCTACATCCCCTGCTGATACTCGGGTGCTCGATGCTAGGCTTCCTTATTATCTCTCTCGATATGGTAATCCACCACTCTCAGACGCATCTCTATGGTTGGGAATCGGACCATGCCGTCGAGACGGCTTGCTCCCATGTTGCTGCTCTTATTGGTGCCTCGCCTAAGGAGATTGTGTTGACCTCTGGAGCTACCGAGTCCAATAACATATCCATCAAGGGGGTCATGAATTTCTACAGAGAGAAGAAAAGGCACTTGATTACCATTCAGACGGAGCACAAGTGCGTTCTTGATTCCTGCAGACATTTGCAGCAGGTGGGTTTTGAGATTACCTACTTACCGGTTGGGTCCGATGGAATTGTTGATTTGGATAAGCTCCGTTCTGCGATTAGACCCGACACTGGCCTTGTTTGTACTTTGTGCTTGATATGCAGATATAGAACAACCCCCTCCTCCTCCTCCTCCAGCAGGATTGTGATTAGAATAAACTCTGAATCTTACAAATGCATTCTTAAGAAGGGTAACGATTATTTAAGTTCTTAATCTTTGTCTCTTTACTTTTTCTTCCACCTGATTCATCAAAGGACAATTTAGCTAAATGCCTTTTATTTTCTTCTCCCTTCTTTCTGGTTGAATAGGTATGAATTTCTGGTTTCTCTTCCTTTTTTACCGATATGTAGCAGCTTACATTTCATTCACATGTTTTTTTTTGTAAGGCGCACAACTTTTTATTAAAGACGATGAGACATCCTCTCGTCTCACTCCCAGCTGACTAAGATTACAGAAATTTCTTAATCAAGAAGACAAGAATGGTTATGAAATCATCCTTTAGACAAAGGAATAGCCTTCAATTGGCTTAGATTTCATCGATATGATGTTCAGATTAATTTTAGACTCATGGTTCCACTTCTACCAATGCAAGATGAATGGGTGTGATGGTACACGCCTTAAGTTGATGAATAGTTTAGTCTCATGGAGCAACGTTTATTGGGGTAAAAGGCTAGTGAAAATCCTTATAGTTTTTAAGACCATGACACCTAGACAGTTATACAATTCTCATTCTTAACCTGATACGTCTGGACCGTGAAGTTTTTGTATGAACAGCAACTTTATGCAAGTAAAATGGCATGTGCAGTTTTGTCGCCATCTGCAGTGACACTCTGGATCAAGAAGACCCTGGCTATACCATTATTAATATTGCCTCTTCTAGATTAGGACTCTCTTTATTTATGTAAGCACTTGCTTCCATAAGGTTATTCTTTCATTCAATTTCAACTTCTTGCAGTTGCAGAGCTTCACTCCCATGGCTTTCTTAGGTGCACGGGACGTATGCTAGCCGTGCTGCAGGTAGACTGTATTAAGCCTTTACTATAGCTTTTTAGGATAAATCAGTTGAAAATTCTGTGCACGGTCATTGACAGCTATGATGATCTTACACGTTTGGATTTTATGCATGCTTCTCTGATTATAATGTTATAAAATTAACATTCTAAATCTTCCTATAAAAAACTAACATCCTAAATCCACGTCTTCTGCTGTTTAAAATGCAGTGAAACTTTCTAGGTACAAAACCAATAAGGAGATTCTAAAGAGAACTCTTTCAGTAGATCATTTTAAAAAAAAAAAAAAATTATTTATTTATTCATTTGTTGCAGTATTGTTGGTTGTCATGAATCCACACGTGTTAGGATATACATCTATTTCTACGAATATGTGTTCTAGAATGAACATCCCAAGTCCATGTCGTCTGATTTCCAAAATGAAGTGGAACTTTGTTGGACTTATTCCTTCTGGGTTTGCTATTGCCTGAAAGTTTGGTCATGAAAGGTGCAACCTTTTCTTGTTGGTCTGACTTTCTCATCAAGGAAAAGGTTCTTTGCCCTGTGGAACTTGAAACAGTGAAGCGTTCTATGTTCAAGGGGCTAGCCACTCTGCAGGAAGCCCCCCCCCCCCCCCCCCCCCCCNCCCCCCACACAAAAAAAAAAAAGGAAGTGATCCTGGCTTCTAGGCGTGCTGTAGCGAATATGAACATGGGTGTGGTAAATTGAAATTTCAGATTTCCATGCGGATAAGAGCAAGAAGTGATTGAATGGCCATGTCTATGAAGTTCAAACTACTTGCCCAGTTGAGACTGTGTAGGAGGCCCAGGAGGCGCAGTTTAGTATCCTCTATTCTGTTTTGGACTTTCACTGTTTGGTTGTACACAAATGAGGACAATAAAATTAGTGAATGTTTTAGTGTTCCGCTAACAGTTTGCTAACACCAATACAGTTGTCTTGGTACTGCGTTCTTTTTTATGTTTATAAGTGAAGATGTCAACGAAACCTCTTTATTCATGAGCAGTGTACAACTTATTCTGTACAGCATCAAATTTATACCGACTTGGAACTTTATGCATCCTTGATACTATTTTATTTTCTTCTACAAAATGGAAGTTTTCATTTAGATATGAAAACTAGTACCTCTGATAGCAATATCATCACGAGCCAGCAGGACCCTGGAGACCTTGAAACAAGCTGTGAAAATCTTCTTGCTCCTGACAGAATCAATACATAATAGAAAGTTAGAAGAAACCAGTGGGTGGGGGTTTGAAATGGTGGGTGGGTGTGTGTGCTTGGTCTTTAATTGAGAGTGCATTATTTTTTGAAACATGCAGGTACTGTGTAGCAATATCCATTAAATGTCCTTGTCTTCTGAGAAGAAAGCAACTGCTCAAAAGGAGAGGGGGTTCAGCAGAAGAAGCGCTGTGCAGTGCAGTGGCCAAGTTTTGGGCAACCTGACTGAAGGCTTTCTTTTTTGTAAAATATGTGGAAGAAGAAGCCAAGGAAGATAGCAATATACGGTATCTGATTGGGAAAGTGACTCATTTCATTTATGAGATGAGAATCATGGCAATATCAGTTGTGGCCGTGGGGAGAAGGATTATGGGTATGGCCCAGCTGGGAAAGTGGGGTACACAAATGGGGTTGGGTTGGGTTGTTTTCAACGCTTTTAGTACCAATGAAAAAGCATAAAAAAGCTTGAGAAAGAAGCCCATGTGGAATCAGAATCCTTTGTTCCCCTTCACTGTTGATGAGCCTGATTCCCAGCTTTTCAGTTTTGCATTTTCTTTTTTCCTTCTCGATTTTAGCACCGACATTCTCTTTTTTGTGTGAGAGGGAATGAGAGATTAGTGCATGGGTTTGTGTTTAACTTATTAGAGAATGAAGTGCATTCATGTCACCTTTTAATTTTTTTGTCTCGAGTAAGTTGATATCAAATTAGTCTCGGGTTGTGTATCAGCAACCATGAGATTGGCTATAGTAAAGCACAGGACAAAGCAGATCTTATACCCTTTTTTAACTTCTTGAAACACTGTACATTTTAGGATATTAGCATTTGATCTAATCGTCTTCAATGGGAATGATTCGGTCTTGAAAAAGGAAATAAGATATCCCATCTAAAGAAATGAAATAAAGTTGGGTAGGCATGCCTTCCTTATGGCAAATCAAGTCTACAAAGAGGTTTATTCTGTACTTTCTTGTAGTGAGACGGCCAAGATGCTACTGATCAATATGTTTCTTCTTTCTTCTCCCCCAATTTTTAAATTTGAAACAATGGCCCTATGAACAGCATTGTGTGAGTTGTTTCTCTTCCTTCATTTTCATTATCTAGAGAATATTTTGATTGAAGAGCCAACCAAAATATGTTCTCTAATCATTCTATGCAGCTATATATATATACATCAAATTTGCTATTTTTAGAATCAAGAAGGTATACAAACACATAGCAAAGGTTTTAGAAAGGAACATCAAAGCATGCATATCATTTCCCTTATAAGCATCTCATCTCATCTTATCTGCCTGGTTTGCTCATGAAGCCTTGAAAAGCATGCATTGTTCCAAGACATGATCATAGATTTTAAATTTGGTTTTTGTGGGTTTGGTTGGTATATGTTCTTTGTTGAATTGTCATTCAAGAGGAAGTCCAATCCCTTACCATGGGTATTAGAACATATGTTCATGGCTTTTCAAAAGATGTGAGAGTACTACTTGTCGTGTCTTGTCCAAATAAAATAGAAAGATTGATGGCCTTACCATCTTGGCTTACGGCTTATGGCTTATGTTGAACAAGAAAATGGTTGATACATTTCTAATGCTTGAGTTAGTATAAAGCTATAGCAAGACGACTAAGTAGCCTTCCCATTTTAGTTAAAAGAAAGAACAAAAAGGAAGAAAGAGTATCCACCTAGGAAATGTATTGGAGAGAAAGTTCTAAAGTGTTCTAAGTTGAGAGCTCTTCATCTAATGCCTGCTTATGAATTGTAGTAGAGATTAAAGAGTCCCAAAACGAAACAGAGGGGGAGAGAGTGGTTGAGTTAAAGAAATTAACAATCATTTAATCATTAATTTACAGAGAGATAGAGAGAGAGAGAAATTGAAGGGGGAGTTATATAAAATAGTTAAGGGTTGAAGATTAAGCTCCCACATTTGCATTTCCAGCTCATGGGCTTGTAATTGGAGGCTTCATCTCTAGCATAAACTATGTTCTTCACTGCTGAAGATTTTTTAGTGGCTGATTTTTGTGGGTTTGCAGGAACTTGAATGGCCTCACAGTGACCGCACCAGCTGCATCTTCTCTCACATTTTGGTGGCTTTGATCCAATTTGTCCTCTTAATATCTCCTTATCTTCATTCACTGTCTATCCCAATGCATCAAAACAAAAAAAGAAACACAAAATTATTATTCTTCTCAATTAACTAAGATTTCACAGAAACAATAAAGTATTTGAGAAAGGGAGGGAAGAGCGGTGGTTTGTGGACTGACCTTGGTCCTCATTGAAATCGATCTACCTGCAAAGAAAAACGATTCACAAGATGATTCAATTTGAACTGAAATTGTAAGATGAAGAATAAAAGTCCGGTTTTGGACTCTGTTTTGAAGATCCAAAAGATACCCAGTTACCTTCAGCCTTGATTTTCATCTGGGTCGATGCCAATATCAGAAGACAGAGAAAAGAAACAGTCGCACACAAGATTCTGCTGCGCCCAATGACGACGCCATTGTTGTTACGCTCACACCCCATTTTCCTATTGTTCTCACAGAGAAAGAGACAGGGAATTGTCCCTGGAGATGGAGAGCTTAGATATTCAGAAAGAAAGGAAAGAAGAAAGTGGGTGGAGAAGTGAATTTTAAATCAGAATCGGCGAGAGAATAGGTTCTGATTTTGGTCTCAACGCCGGTGGTACGTGTATATAATATAATTTGGTCTGAATATGTGTGTTAGTGTGGGAAAGATATTTGAGATGATTGAACGTGGAAGACAAATGAAAAAGAAACACAAGAAAGAAGGGAGAGTACCAAAAAGTGCAGAACCCCTCAGAACTCGAAAGAAGAGCCCCCCAAACACTTTAACCCAACAGAAAATAGAATAAAATAAGAGTTAAGAAGTGAGAGAGAAGAAAAAATTCGTGAGAATGAGGGTTGCAAGTAGGAGGAAATGTAAACAAGGAGCCGAAAGATGAGAGCAAAATTTGCAAATGCTCCTAAATGCTGCCAAGTTGTTCCATAGCCAGACGTGAGAGCAGCGCAATGGGAGGTGTGTGAGAGTGGGATTTGGTCTTCCTTTTCCTTTTGCCTTCGCTTTCTTTCTCCTCTTCTGTTTTTGGTTGTTAGTTTAAAATTCAAGTTTTGGGATTGTTGTGATTTTGTTCTGAACTCGCCCACCTCATCACGCCATATCCATATCCTTTCTTCTTCCCAAGCAAGAGACCCACTACAGGATTTTCCCAACTACGAGTTTGCTTGTCATTTGTCAATTGCTTCCTCACATCACATGCCCTCCCTCCAAAACTATAATTATTGCTCCTTTGCTTACATTATTTGGGCTTTACACTTCAAACAGCCCAATCAATTATAAATTTTGCCTTTCTTATATTTATCTAATTCCCAAAACGTACGGTCATATGTTTACAATAGTGAGATTCGTAACGAGTCAAAACGGACAATATCTATCAGTGGCCTTTTCCTCCTAGGCTTTCCCTCCAATCGATGTGGGATCTCAACCGACATGGAATTTGGACTATTAATAGAAATAAGAGTACACGATACTAATAGTGGGCTTAGACTATTACAAGAGTAGTGTAGATAAGGAGACATCCTTACCTTCAAAGACATACAAGTCCAACTCGATTTCACTGTAACTTAATACTAACTTAAAATATTGGAACGTGTTTGGCATGTTCAACTAGAAGACGACTGGGACCACCAACCATAATCATGAATGAATCAACGTCACTTAAAATAAATAGAAGTTACTTTTTTTGTATTATAATCGTGGAGGCTCAACCATAATGACATAATCGTGACATAATAATCAACCATAATCGACCATAATTGTGGCATCAAACATCAAATTGAATTTTGTGTTGAAAGGGGAATTGAGAAAAACGGTTGGGGTATGGGAATTTGTAAAACTCTTAACAAAGCTGGTTGTAAAGGAAAAGGAACCGACAGTGATATTGACGTCCATAAGAATAGAATATCTTCCATATCTTTGGACTTAATTCCAAGGGCCCTCCTTTACACCAAGCTCACAACCTAATAATCACTCAATACTCCCATAATTTTCTCTTCGTCAATTACACCCAGTTTCGCTGCTTCAACTCAAACCCCACCTAATGCCACAGCTTCAAATGCTTCAATCCATTGCCTTGGATCTACAGCCTTAAATTCCAATGAGCTCAATGTATATGATAAATTATAATGCAAGCTTTGTTGATTCTGGGACAACCAATCAATGTCTCGGAATATATTAAGGTACACACATCAATGCAAGCGCAAATGTCTAATAAAAAAACAAACGAACAAAAAAATTGTCGCTCGTGATTCATATTTGCACATCATGCAGCTATCTATAGCCCCACAGCTTTCATCCTTCCTTGTCAAATTAACACACTGATGGCACTGCATCCTACCCTCTCCTTGAAACAAGCAACTGCTTCCTCTGTTGTCACTCTTCTAGTACTATCTGTTACCGTCGCCGCCCGCCCCACCACATTTCTCTAAGATTCTTAGGCCCAGATCAGTCAACTCCGTGCCGGAACCGCCATTCAACTCGTCCTCAACCAAAAGAAACAAATGGGTTCGTTTGAAGGACATGATATATGGTTGTTGAAGTGGGTTCCGCCGGAATGCGTTACCGGATCGGTGTGGGGAATTATGATGAAGGGGGAGAAGGACACCGAATTCGATCATTATTGTTG